AAATTTTTAGACATTGGATAATGTTGCCGTTATATTCCTTATAACAAAGTTTGATTAGGTTCGTATTGAGTTAAGTACCTAACTTGCCTCGGATGGTCGGATTGTTTTCTATATATGCATAATAAATGTAAGTATGTAACACTAGTTATCGTATCCGGTTCAGTTGTATTGATTAATTATGTCTTCCATCTCTAATTCTGTCGCTAAACTTTCATTTTTAGCAACGTATTAGTTGTTCGCCTCTAATTCTGTCACTAAACATACATTCTTAAAGACAATATATATCCAGCAAAATTATGGTAAAACCACTTAAAAGGAGGCTGAATCATTGTTCTACTACACTTGTTTAGTATCTCATTAATCCGAATTACTGAGTTGAAGAGAAACATAATTATGTGTTCGGATAATCAAAAATAAATGTCGAAAATCTTTGATATAATTCTTAAATCTTGATTGTATCCTTTATCACCTCACGTACAACAGATTGCAAGAAACTTCTGGATGGTAGTGAAAATTCAATCTAAGTTTTTAATATTACAGTTGAATAATATACAAACTATCATTAAAGCCCCAAATTTAATTTTAGAACAATTCTTTAAACCTTGAGAAGTAGAAATAAGGGTGAAATTGTAAGTTATGAAATTATTTCTTTACTTTAAGAGAAATAAATTAAAAAATAATTAGGACTAGATTGCAAATTTTGAAAACTTGAAAAACTTACTCCAGACCACAACAGGAGGGGGTTTTCGTAATTTGACCATAACTCAGGGGTTGCCTTAATTTGCCCATATATATATATATATATATAAAGATTAAAGGGGAAAGAGAACCTCAACTTGTGAACTAGTACATGCATGGTCTACCGGTTTAATTTTGGCATGCATAAGCCTGAAACCGTTACGCTTCAATTGATTAGGACCTATCAAATATTTAACTTTAATGTGTCTTTTGGTAGTTAGGTGTTCATAAGATTTAAAGACTGATCCCCATATGTAGGGGCTTGACTTTTCAAAACCGCATCTTAGCTAGCTAGACAGGTTCAAATTATAGAGATCCGCCTGTATGTATGCTTAGTGGATGATCAGATTTACGGTTAAAACTCACCCGATAAAGTTCATTAGTAAGTGTTTTTTTTAATCTTTGGGTTAATGTTGTTTATAAATATTCATGAGGACAATGATAAGTCATTTTCTTCAACATGCATGAAGAAGTAGCAGAAGCTGCAGATGGTGGCCGGATCCTCTCACTCACTAATAATTAACAATAAGGTTCCATTTGATATACACCCCTAGAATGGAAAATATATAGCGATAAATCCACTCCTAAAATTCTTCATTTGAGATCCCCTGGAGATGCAAAAGTACTATTGTGCCCTTAAGTGCAATTTTCGCCCAACTGCATTCAGTATTTTCGCCCATATATTCAGCATAATGCTGAACTGCATTTAGAATTTTGGGCCTGCATTTATCATTTTTATAGATTATTTTAATAAAAAATATAAATTCTTATTTTATTATTATTTTATATAAAATAATAATAAATAACGAAAATCCCCCTCACGTTCTCGTAATTACGAAAACCCCCCTTGACATAATAGACATTTCACGTTTTCGGTTAAAAAAATTCGGTCAACCGTTAGTCAAGGGGGGTTTTCGTAATTACGAGAACGTGGGGGGATTTCCGTTATTCAGACTTACCTCAGGGGGGTTTTGGTAATTTGCCATAATTTTTAATATTTTAATTTTTTTAATTTTTTTTTTTTTGATAAATTTACTGTACTGAATTGACTATATATGACTACAGTATACCACAATCATATATATTTATATGTAATCATGTACTGTTTTTTTACCCCAAAATTAATCTACACCAACAACAAAATTCACAATTTAATCTTGATATTATAAATCAACTAACCCAAAAAAAAGAAAAAAACACAATCACATGCATATAATCTTCAAAACATGAACACGCATTACTATCCATTAAAAAACCCATAACATACATATAAATATATATTACTACACGTGACTATAGTTATATACAATTATCCATAGTTATATAAGTGACATAAGTCTGGAGTACTGTAGCATGAATCCAACTTCACAAAGGCACTTCATCGAATTTTATTCTCTGCATGTCATAAAATTATAATAAAAGCAAAACCTGCGACAAAAAAATACGAGTTAAATATCAAAATGGAACATGCGAGTTAGATTACATGAAAAATACAAAAAAAAAACATGATTTTTTTGTAGATAAATTTGTTGAACTAAAATCGACTACAAATGACTATAGTATACTACAAGTCCTATATATAGTCATGTATAGTTACATGTAGTCATGACTATACATGACTACATGCGACTGACTATATATGACTGTATATGACTAAATATAATTGTATATTCACCTGACTCAAATCACCCATGTATGTATCCCCTACTGGTTAAATTTCTATTACAGACAAACAAAGCTCTCACACATTAGGCATTTCAAATCATCTTCAAATAAATACAAAAAAAATTACATATGATTTATAATAAAAAAAATCAAATTACATGAAAAATACAAAAAAAAAACATGATTGTTTTTGTTGATAAATTTACTGAAGTAAAATCGACTACAAATGACTATATTATATTTATACTACAAGTCCTATATATAGTCATGTATAGTTACATGTAGTCATGACTATACATGACTACATGTGACTGACTATATATGACTAGCTAGTATATGACTAAATATAACTGTATATTCACCTGACTCAAATCACCCATGTAAATAACCACTACTAGTTAAATTTTCATTACAGACAAACAAAGCTCTCACACTTTAGGCATTTCGAATCATCTTCAAATAAATACAAAAAATAAATTACATATGATTTATAAAAAAAAAAATCAAATTAATCCAAAGAAAAATATTTTAATATTAATTGTTCACAGATCTTCAAAAACACAGTAGATCTGGGTTTTTTTAAATAAATGCAGTAAATATATCCAAATCGAACACCACCAATTCCAGATCTGAAATTCACCATTATATCTGACACAATTTAAAATTTTCGAATTCAGTTGGTTTCATAAAAAAACAATAAAATAAGGTGAAATAGTGATAAGAATTAAGATCTTCAAAAAATAAATTAAAAATGGATTGGCATTCATAAATTAAAAAAAATAACTTAAAAAAGTGAAGTGAATGGTTTAGTACCGACGGTGGGAGGAGCAATGACCGACGGTGCAAGGCGGCGGCGGAGCATCGGCGAATGGCGGTGGTGGAGCAGCGGCGAACGTCGGTTGTGGAGCAGCGGCGCAAGGTGAATGGCGGCGGCGCAGCAGCGGTGAACGTCGGTGGCGAAGCATCGGCAAATGTCGGTGACGGAGCGGCGGTGGGGGATCATTGGCGAGCGGCGCAAAGCGGTAGAAGGAGCAGATCTGGCCGCATAGGGTTTGACGATAGAGAGAAGTTAGAGAGAGAAAGTGTGTGAGAGAGAGAGATGAAGAGAGATGGTGGGTAACGGCTGATAAAGAGAAAGTGAGAGAGAGAAAAGTTAGAGAGAGCTCATAAGTTAGAGAGAGAAAGTGAGAGAGAAGGTTAGGGTTAGGGTTTTATGTATTGAATTAAAACTAAAAAGGTAAAACAGGTATTTCAAGTTATCTAGGGGGTCTCACTAATTAAGATCAGACTTTGGATTTTTAATTAACTAGGAAGGAAAAATTTAGTGGACCTCCTCATATATATTTTCAAAACTAGGGGGTTATCACTCATTTCCCCATTAAAAAAATTAGTTTTGAAATTTAAATTACAAAAATAACTTAAAAATGAAGTGTACGTTAACTTAGATAAGACAAAACATTTAAAAATATTAAAAACATTAATAGAAAAAAATAACCCACGTTGGTGAGTATAAGAGAGAATTATAAAGAAATTACAAAAGAGAAAAAGCAAAAGACTATCCGAGAGGATAAGGATTTTGTTAGCCGCTTTGCAATCTGATTTGCTATGAAAGTCAAGAGGCTGGAAAATAGGAAATGAAATAATAATAATAATAATAATAATAATAATAATAATTAATTCTAAAAACAATATAAATATGTCATTGGAGTTTGTTAGGTTGCTCCGTTTCATATTAAGTGGCATCGAAGGAAAATTCACACAAAAAACATAATTAATAGCCTACTTTTTAATAGAAAATCCCTAAATTACCTTTTGCAATACTATTAAATGATCTCATAGTAATAAATTAATGAATTTGAACAATCGATGATAAAGGGCAAACTTGGTAAAATAAATTATTGTTTCCTTGGTAATATGGGATTTTTTTTCCTTTTTTGTGGCCAAAAAAACGCCACTTAATATAAAACGGGGGCAGTATGTGTGTTGTGTGTGTGTGTGTGTGGGGGGGGTTGGTGGTGGTTGCGGTTGTTATGAGACCTACGATTAATATATATGTAAATAGGTAGTCTATATATAGATATATTTGGGCAGCTTAGTAGATTGCATATTACTTGTAGGTAAAATAATAAGAGTACGTGGTGGAAACCTGAAGAAAGGGGTATGGACACCTGAAGAAAACAATAAACTCTTTACTTATATGCAACAACATGGCCGCCATGGCAACTGGAGAGACCTCCCTCTAAAAGCCGGTACGTATATATGTTCGTATGTATTATATGCATACGCTTTTTTTTTTCCAAATACACATATCGTGTTATTTGCAAGCTATATTGTCCGAGAGTGAGGTTATATATATGAATGGTTAACGAAACGTTATATAGGGCTTCGAAGATGTGGGAAATGCTGCAGATTAAGATGGAACAATTATTTGAGGCCGGATATTAAGAGGGGGAAGTTCAGCTTGCGGGAAGAGCAGACCATCATTCAGCTGCATGCCCTTCTTGAAAACAGGTGATTAATTATTTGATGCTACAATATATACCGGTGATTATTAATCGTTAATCTGCACATACTCACACACACATCCATGTATATATATGCTTAATGGATGGTTATTTAACCCCATCGACGGTTAAAAATCATGTTTAATTCTGGATTGATTTGGAATGTTCGCGTACGTGCAACTTTGTCAACGTTGAAATGTGCTTTTTTTTAATAGATAAATTAAAGAAAATGTGCTTAATTAACTGGAATATTTTTAATATATATATATATATATATATATATATATATATAGAAAAGTCTTTGATGAGATGTGAGTTATATTAAATATTCAACCAAAATTCAACAAATGATATATATTTTTACCCTTACTAAAATATTATGTTGTAGGACGACAAATTTCACGGTCTATTTTATGCTATACTAGGTAGATATTTACCATTTATATACACATAAACACACACACCTTCCTTTAAGTTAAGTTTAGTTACATTTATAGTTTTCCATACGTGGCCCGTGACGAGGGATCGGTGTTCGCAACTTGATGCGGTTGAACAATAATATTTTGTAAGTTTCTCACAAACGATTGAAGTTTTTTTAGAGAAGAAAGATGCAATGACGAGGTATATAGATAGGTGGTAATGTGAAGGAAGTAGGTAGACTGCAATGTGCTATCTAAAGATATTATTTTTATTAGTATTTTACATAAGAAAGAAAGAGCAAAATTATCTTCCAAAATAATTATTTCTTTTAGAAAATATTATAGAAAGATTAAAACTACTATACAATGAGTTAACTAAACGACATTGAATTTTTAAGGGAGGCCGTCTCTATAATATTTCAAAATACAAGGGGCGTACATGTAATTTGACATAATTTCACGGGAGGACAATTTACTCATTATTTAGTTATAGAATTAAGTTCCAAGAAAATCTCACGAAAGTGAAAGTTAATTAGGTGTAAAACATATCGTCTTATCTTACATAAATGCTCTATACGTACAAGATAGTGCAGACAGCTTGCTTGATCATTTTCCATACTGTATATGTACGAACAAAATAAATGTGGTTCCATGTGTGATGTATTAAATGCAACTGTACAAACAAATACTCAGTACATCAATTAATTAAGAATTAAGTCATTGATTTTTTTTCAATTCTTTTTTTTTTTTTCTTTAAAGAAGGATATAGTTATTGGTTTATCAATATATATGTTATGCTAATATTTTAAATTAATTGATTGATTATTAATGTTATCTTAACTATCAAATGATTATTAGATTCTTACATTTTGTTTTGTGCATGTAGTAAATTAGATGGTCAGCGATAGCGGGACACTTACCGAAGAGGACCGACAACGAGATAAAGAATTATTGGAACCCAAATTAAATTTAACGAAGAGATAGCTAAAATGGCCAGGGATGACGTGGACAAGTCCCGGAATAGGCGACATCATAACGAATAACGATTTTTTCGCTCAGACAACATGCTAATGACCATCTCGAA